GGCTTGGCCATCCCCCCTGGGGGTAATTTCTCGCTTTCTGTCTCTCTGTCTCTGTCTGTCTGGCAAGCGCACATGCCCTATAGCAAAAACCTCTCAAAAAATTATTTAATTTTATTTATTCATTCATTTATTTTAACTTGACCAGAAAGAAAAAGAGAGAGACAGAGAGAAAGCAAGCCACCAGGTCTAAGACTCGAACCGTGGTCAGCCATGTGGGAATGTCCAGCACCTTAGCCACCATGCCACCTGCTGGTCCCTACATAGTACTTTTAACTATAGTTCTTATTTGTATATATCATGCTGGGTAAAGTCTCTTCACAATCTAAATGATGTATAGTGATTTATTGTATGAATAATCTAAAAAATTAATAATTGAAAAAAAAACCTGGTAGGGTTGAAATGACCAATGTAACCACTTTGGTATACTGCCAAAAAGTACAAAGACAATAAATAATGGCACCAGGAATTCAGACTTCAACCTGTTAGGTCCTCTCATTAAACAGACATGCTGGCCCCCAATCCCTGGCAGCCATGCCAACTGCCTTCCTGGGACCTCTGTTCTCTGTCAGACAGATCCTCAATCATCACTCACCAGGCCTTACCCCAGGGCCCAAAGGCAAAGGCTGGGCTGCCTGGGGCCTGGATGTCCTGTAGTCACTCAGATTCTGCACCCTGGAGTCCAGACGTGGGCTAGGGCGAGAAGATGCCAAGGGCATCGCGGGTGATGACTGCGGTGTGAAAACCCTTGGTCTTGGTGACAGAGCTGGAACCTGTGGAGAGAGAATAGAGAAAAGGGAAAGAAATGTAAGCAGTTACGAACAGAAAAATACGGAATATTAATGTAACAAAAATGATTTCTTTGAAAAAATAAATAAAATTGATAAACCTCTATAAAGATTGATGAAAAGACAAAAGACATGTCATCAGTATCAGAACTAAAACTAAAACAGGGAATATTATAACAGATCTTGAAGCGATTAAAAAGATAAATATAAAAGCTTTTTATTCATAAATTCAACAACTAAGAGGAAATGATCATTCCTTAACAACTACAAACTATCAAAACTCAGCCACTATGAAAGATAACCTGAATAGTTGTATAACTATTAAAGAAATTGGATTTGCAGTTTAAAAGCTCTGAAAAAAGAAATCTTCAGGTTAAGGTGGTTTCATTGGAGAATTTCACCAAACATTCAAAGAATTAACACAAAATTTATATTATCTCTTCCAGGAAACAGAAAGAATACTTCCTGATTTTTTAAAAACTTGCTATAGGACATGTACACTTGTCAGACACAGAGAGACAGACAGACAGACAGACAACTCCCCAGGGGGATGACCACACCACAGTCCTTTCTCCTCTATTCTCTCAGGATTTGGGGTACACACACACACACACACACACACACACGTATCCGGCATGTTTTTCAAGCCTCTAGGTCCAGGACTCAAACTGCTCAGATGGCCATGTAGGATCCAGCTACTTTAACCACTATGCCACCTTGCTGGCCCCCTAGCTAATTTTAAGAGGTCACTATTACCCTAATACCAACATCAAAAACAGCACAAAATAAAACTACAGATGAATACGTCTCATAAACGTAGGTATAAAAATCCTCACTAAAATTTTAGCAAATCAAACCCAACAATGTATATAAAAATAATATTCCACAACCAATGGAATTTATTCCAGGTCATGCAAGACTAGTTCAATATATTTAAAAATAAATCAATATGGGGCCAGTAGATGGTGTGGTGGTTAAGGGTGCTGGACTCTCACGCAGCTGACCATAGTTCAAGTCCTCTGGTCAAATTTAAATAAATAAATAAATAAAGTTCAATAAAGTAATTCGTTTTTTAAATATTATTTTATCGAATTTTATTTTATTTACTTATTTATTTTAATTTCACCAGAGAGGGACAGAGTGTGAGAGTGAGAGAGGGAAAAGCAAGCCACCAGGTCTAGAATGCAAACTGTGGCCCATGTGGGAGTCCAGGGTCCCTAACTACCATGCTACCTGCTGGCCCCAATAAAATAATTCTTTAAAAAAAATTAAAAAAGAAATGTAATCTACCATATCAACAAAAGAAGAAAAAACATATAATCATGTAAAATGATACAGAAAAAATGTAACAAAATCCAACAGTCATTTATGATCTAGTATACAAGGTGGAATGGTCTGAGTGCCCCCCAAAACTCATGTGTTGGAATCTTAATCTCTAACGCAAGTACTGGGAGATGGGGCCTTTGGGAAGTATTCAGGTCATGAGGGTTCCAACCTCATTAATACCATTATAAAAAGGGCTTGGAGGAGTGGATTCACTCTCATGAACTTCTGCTTCTGTCACATGAGAAACAGCATTCCTCCTCGCTGAAGGATGTAACAACAAAGTGTCATATTGGAACCAGAGACCAAACCTGGTGGTGCCTTGATCTTAGATTTCCCAGCCTGTGAGAACTGTGAGAAATAAATTTCTGCTCTTTATAGATTACCCTGTCTGTGGTGTTTTGTTATAGCAGCACAAAATGAGCTAAGATTCAAGAACTAGAGGGAAACTTCTTCAGTCTTATAAAGAGCATCTACAGAAAAACTTACAGCTAACATCATACTTAATGGTAAAAGACCGACTTCCTGCTAAGATTGGAAATAAGGCAAGGATGCTCATTCCTATTTTTTTTTTTTTTTTTTTTTTTTTGAGATTTTTTTTGCTACAGGATGTGTGTGCTTACTGGAGACAGAGAGACAGACAGAAAGCAAGAAATCACCCCCCAAGTGGAATGACCATGCCGCAATTCTGTCTCCTCCAGTCTCCTCTCAGGATTTTGGGCACACACACACAAACATCCTTGTGTGAGTTTAAGCTGTTGGGTCTGGGACTAGAACTGTGACTACATGGGAGGACAGTGACATAACCATTATGCCATCTGCTGGCCCCCCTACCATTCTTATTTAATGTAAGACTAGAAACCTTACTCACTATAAAAAGGCAAGAGAGCAAAAGTAAAGGCATATAGATTGGAAAGAAAACTGTCCATATTTGCAAATAACATAACTATCTACATAGACTATCACAAGTATACACAAAACTCCTAATAAATGAGTCTAGGAAAGAAACAGGATACAAGATCAACACATGAAAATCAATAGCATTTCTATACGCTATCAATGACTAAAATTTAAAAGAGGAACTAAAATTTTTTTAAAAAATATAAAGTTGACTTGAAATTGCTCAAAAGAAAACTAAATACAAACTGGACAAAATGTGTACAGGGTTGATATGATAGAAATTATAAACTGGTGATGGAGAGTGTGCTGGAAAGACAAACCATGTTCATGGATTGAAAGATTCTACATAGTAAAGGTATCAATTCCCCCACTTTTTTTTGTTTTGTTTTGTTTTTTAATATTTTGCCTTTGGGTGTGTGTGCTCGCTGGAGAGAGAGTCAGTGAGAGGGAAAGTGAGAAATCACCCCCTAGGGGGATGGCTATGCCACAATCCTTTGTTCTCCATTCTCCTTCTGCGATCTTAGGCATGCACCCAGTGTTGTTGTCAAGTCACCAGGTCCAGGACTTGAAACACGGTTGGCCATGTGGGAATCCAGTGACATAACTGCTACTCTATCTGTTGGCTACAGGATGTGTGTGCTCACTGGAGACAGAGAGACAGACAGAGAGACAGAAAGTGAGAAATCATCCCCCAGGGGGAATGGCCATGCCACAATCCTTTCTCCTCCAGTCTCCTCTCAGTCTCCCCCATAGTTTTAATGCAATTCCTATCTCAGCAAGTTTCTTTGTACATATAGACAAACTTATTTTAAAATTTATGGAGGAAAGGGAAAAATTCCAGGGACCTGCAGGTGGCATGGTGGTTAAAAGGAATGAACTCCCACATAGTTGACCATGGTTCGAGTTCTGGACCTGGTGGCTTGCTTTCTTACTTTCTCTCTCTCTCTCATTCTGTTCCTCTCTGGTAAAATCAAAATAAATAAAAATAAATAAAGTTAAATAAATAATAACTCTTTAAAAAAAAGATTCTAGAGTACCCAAAACAATTTTTAAAAGAAAAATAAGTGGGAAGAATTACTCTTCCTCATGTCAAGACTTACTATCTAGTGGTAGTAATCATGACAGAGTAGTATTGGCACAGGAATAGACACATAAATCAATGGAGCAGAACTGAGAATGAAGAAATAGATCCAGGGCCAGTGGTGGCGCAGTGGTTAAGGCAGCTGAATTTCACATGGCAGTTTGAGTCCCGGACCTAGTGCTTTGAAAAATATCCTGCATGTGTATGCATGTGTGCCTCAAATCCTGAGAGGAGAATTGAGGAGAGACTGTAGCATGGTGATTCCCCCTGGGGGAGTGCTTTCTCACTTTCTCCTCTCTTCCTGTCTGGTGACCATACATTCCCTATATAAAAAAGAAAGAAGAGAAAAAAGAAATATGCCCAGGACCAGCAGTTGGCATAATGGCTATGTTGCTGGACTCCCATGTAGTCGACTGTGGTTCAAGTCCCAGACCCGGTGGCTTAAACTCACATCAGGAGTGTGCGTGCATGCCCAAGATCCCAAGAAGAGAATGGAGAAGGGATTGTGGCGTGGCCACCCCCCCCGGGGGGTGATTTCTCTCTTTCTGTCTCTCTGTCTCTCTCTGTCTTTCTGGCGAGCGCACGCACCCTATAGCGAAAACCTCTCCAAAAAAATAAAAATAAATAAATAAATAAAATAATTTTTTAAAAATTAAATAAATCTTTTTTTAAAAAAGATACTAAAAAACCTCTAAGAGAACAAAGGATAAAATTTTGGAAACCTAAAACTAGTCAAAGAGTTCCTAGATCTGACACCAAAAGCATGATCCATAGGTGTGAAAATTTTATAAATTGAACCTCACAAAGTTAAAACTTTTGTTCTATGGGACCAGCAGTTGGCATAATGGTTATATCGTTGGACTCCCATGTAGCTGATCACAGTTCGAGTCCTGGACCCTGTGGCTTAAACTCACACCAGGGGCATGTGTATGCATGCCCAAGATCTGGAGAGGAGAATGGAGGAGAAGGACTACAGTGTGGCCATTCCCCCTGGGGGGCGATTTCTCGCTTTCTGTCTCTGTCTTTCTTGCGAGTGCACGCATCCTATAGCAAAAACCTTTCCAAAAACAAACAAAAAAACAAACCAAAAAAACTTGTTCTATGAAAGACCCTGTTAAAAAGATAAATTATGAACTGGCTTATAATACAGCCAAGCCTGAGATAAAATCACATATCTAACATGTGGCCAGCAGATAGTAGAGTGGTTATGTTACTGAACTCCCACAAGGCCAACCATGGTTTGAGTCCCAGACCTGGTAGCTTGAAACTCACACCAGGCACATGTGCATGTGTGCCCAAGATCCCAGGAGAATAGTGCAGAAGGGCTTGCAGTGTGGTCCTCCCCCTTACAGGGTGATTTCTCTCTTTCCTTCTCACTGTCTCTGTCTCTCTTTCTCCGCTGAATGCACATGCCCTAAGGCAAAAACCACTACCAAAGAAAGACAGACAGATAGACTTAGAGAAAAATAATCACATATCTAACAAAGCCTATGGATCTTCGGAAGAAGTCATGACAGATCAGAGCTGTGTGCGCCATGAACCACGCTTCCCAAACCTTCACTTGCGCCAGCACCAGCCCTCCCCCAAACTATGAGATGCTCAAGGAAGAGCATGAGGTGTCTGTGCTGGGGGCGCTTCCGCCCGCGGCTCCAGTGACATCCACTGTGATCAACATCCACAGCGAGACCTTGGTGCCCAACCATGTGGTCTGGTCCCTGTTCAAAACAGTCTTCATGAACTACTGCTGCCTGGGCTTCATCGCGTTCGCCTACTCTGTGAAGTCTAGGGACAGGAAGATGGTGGGTGACGTGATCGGGGCCCAGACCTATGCCTCCACCGCCAAGTGCCTGAACATCTTCACCCTGGTCATCGGCATCATTCTGACCGTCATGTTCATCATCTTTTCACGGCGGCTCCAGTAATAATTGCAGATAGGATTCAACTGATGGAAGAGTCTTTCCAAGGCTCATAGTCGACGGCCATGGCCTGTAGCCATGTCCACCCCCACTGCTGGCCTGTCCCCGGGGCCTTCGGGCCTGCCCCTTGCTATTATACAGCCGCTTCTACTCACTTTGACTATGATGGGATTCAATAAAGTACACGTGTTTGTAAAAAAAAAAAAAAAGTCATAACATATTTTTCTATGCAAAAATGTGTCAAGACTTTTCCAACTCAAAGGAATGCATAAAAAACTTTACAACATTTAAAAAACTACATAATCAAATTATAAATTGGACAAAAGACATACTCAGACACTTCACTTAAGGGGATATATAGAGGGTAAATAAATGAAAAGATGTTCAACAACATTAGCCATTAGAGAAATTAAAATTTAATCCACAATGAACTATCACCACCCACCTATCAAAATGCCTAAGTTAAAAACAGTGATAACACCAAATGCTGGCAAAGATGTGGAGAAACTGACTCATTCATACATGGCTGGTGGGAATATAAAATGGTACAACCATTCTGGGAAATAGTTGGTTTTAAAAGTAAAAATGAACTTACCATACAATTCAGCAGTTGAATTATTAAATTCCTAGGTATTTGTCCCAGAGAAATGAAGACTTCCTTATTTATTTATTTTTAGTTTACCAGAGGGCATGTGCACTCACGAGAGAGAGAGAACCTCTCACCCCCACCACGGGGAATGGACACACTGCAATCCCTCTCCTCCATTTCTCCCTCCATTAAGGATTTTGGGCACACATACACATACCCCCAGTGTGTCCTCAAACTGCTGGGTCCAGGACTCCAACCACAGGGTCAGCAATGTGGGATATGGCTGCTTTCAACCCCAGGCCAGGGAGCCAGCTAGAGGTTTACTTTCACTTAGGAATTTGTACAGAATTCTTATAGCAGCTTCTTCTATAATAGCCAAAAATTAGAAACTATTCAAATATCCTTTAAAGGGTGAGTGGTTAAAAAAAAAATCTGTGATGGATCTATACTATACTCTGAGAATAAGTGGAACTACTGGTACACACGGCAACTTGATGAACCTCAAGGAAAATTATGTGTAGTGAGGAAAAACCAGTCCCAAAAGGTGGGTATGCCATGATTCTGTTTCCGTGACAATGATGAAATAACAACTGCAGAGCTGAGGAACATGTCAGTGATGCCCGAGGTGGGTTTGGAGATGGCTATAAAGAGGGGACATGAGTCTCGTGGTGCTGGTACAATTGAATGTCTCAGGGCACACGTGACACAAAGCTATACAGACAGGAGGACATGTAAAACTGGTGAAATCCATATCTGAAATTCGAATCAATGGATTCTCCTAATGTGAATCTCTTGATTTTCATGTTGTAGTGTGGTGGTGTGGGATACTGGCATGAGGTGGGGTGGGTTGGGGCGGTGTTGGGATGCCCAGAATTTCCCAATATATTTATTTGCAACCTCTTTTGACTTTATTATTATTTCAAAATAGAGAAGAGAGGGCCAGCAGGTGGTTAAGGTGCTGAATCCCACATGGCCAACTGCATAGTTCACATTCTGGACTCAGAGACTTGAAAAACACACTCGACACAAAACCTGAGAGGAGGATGGAGGAAAGAGAATTGCAGTGTGGTCATCGCCCTAGGGGAATGATTTCTCACTTTTCTTCTTTCTGTCTCTCTCCAGTGAGAGCACACACCCTATAGAAAATAATAATAATAAATTTTAAGAGAAAATAAAAAAGAGAGTGAGATCAACCAGGTGGTGTGGTAGTTAAGGCAGCTAAATCCCACAAGGCCAACTGCACAGTTCAAGTCCTGGACCTGGTGGCTTGAAAAACACACTAGGCACATGTGCATGCATTCCCAAAACCTCAAGAAGAGAGTAGAGAAGAGATTGCGGTGTGGCCATCCTCCCTGGGGAGTGGTTTCTTACTTTCTCTTTCTCTCTCTCTCTCTGGTAAGCTCACATATTCTATAGCAAACTTCAAAAAAAGAGAGAGACAGAGAGATAGAATAAAAGGGGAGGGAGGGAAAAGAAGAGAGGGAAATGAAGGAAAAAGTAAGAGAGGAAAGGGAAGGGAGAAAGAAAAGGAATTAGGGTGGGAATTGAGGGTGGGACAAGATGAATCATCTGAGCTTCTATCTGATACCTCTACTCTCAGAGTTCCCTGGACGTTGTTCCCCAACCCCAGTCCCTGGTCTCATGTGTTAACAGTTCACCGTCCAATGGGATACTCTGCCCAACCTTGCGCTTGCTCCTCTTCTCCCTCAGCCCCGAACCATACACGTACCTCTAAACGCTCACCTATTTCTGTCACTCCTGCCTATTATACATTTCAGATCCGTCATACTGTCCAGCTTTAGGTTATTTCATGTCCTTGTTTTCTCTTGTTATAGCCTCCCAACTGCCTTCAGTCTTGCCTTTTCTTTCTTTTCTTTTTTATTTTTATTTATTTATTTTTAAGGTTTTTGCCACATGTGCATTCACAGGAGAGAGACAAAGAGACAAAGAAAGGGAAAGTGCGAAATCATTCCCCGGGGAAATGGCCATACTGCAGTCCCTTCCCCTCCATTCTCCTCTTGGGATTGTGGGCATGCACACACATGTGCCCAGCTTGACTTTTAAGCTGCAGGGTCCGGGTCTTGAATTGCAGTCGACCACATGGGAATTCAGTGCCTTAACGACTATGTCACCTGCTGGCTCTGCCCTTTCTTTCTTTATTATCTTTTTATTTTGCCAGAGGGCATGCATACTCACCAAAGAGAAACATGGAAAGAGAGAGAGAAAGTGAGAAAGCACCCCACCCCACAGCAAATGGTCACGTCACAATCCCTTCTCCTCCATTCCTCCCTCCTCTCAGGATTTTGGGCACACACATACACACATGGCAGGCATGTTTCACAAGCTGCTGGGTTCAAGACTCAAACTGCACAGCTGGCTACGTGGGATCTAGTTGCCATAACCACCACACCACAGGCTGACTCCAGACTTGCCATTTCTAATTTTTTAGAGAGAGATTTTTGCTATAGGGCACACGTGCTTGCCAGAGAGACAGAAAGCAAGAATGTACCCCCTGAGGGGATGGCCACACCGCAATCCCTTCTCTTCCATTCTCCTCTCGGGATTTTGGGCAGGCACACGTTCAGTGTTAGTTTTAAGCTGCCAGGTCGAGAACTTGAACCACGGTCAACTACATGGGAGTCCAGTTACATAACCATTATGCCATCTGCTGGTCCCCAGCCTTGCTCTTTCCAAACACAGCTAATCACGTCACTCCCCCACTTAACTGTCCAATAGTTACTCCCTGCCTTCAAAGTCTAAGTTCTTTACCGCAGAGTGCCAGCTCCTCGGTGGTCTAACTCCCACCTGTTCCAGCTTCATCTACCCATACTCCATATCCACAGATACCTGTTTTACAACTCCATTAAAGTACTAGCAATTCTTAGGGCTGGCAGGTGGTATGGTGGTTAAGGCTCTGGACTCCCACATGGCCAACTATGGCTCAAGTCCCGGATCTGGCAGCTTGTTTTCCACTTTCCTTCTCACTCTTTCTCTCTCTGGTTAAATTGGAAAAAAAAATATTAAGTTAAATAATTCTTTTTTAATTTTAAGAGAGATTTTGTTATAGGGTGTGTGCACTTGCTGTAGACATAGAGAGAGAGAGACAAGAGACAAAAAGTGAGAAATCACCCCCACAGTGGGATGGCCATGCCACAATCCCTTCTCCTCCATTCTCTTCTCAGGATTTTGGGCATGCACATACATACACCCGGCATGAGTTTTAAGCTGTTGGGTCTGGGACCTGAAACATGGTTGACCATGTGGCAGTCCAATGACATAACCATTACGCCATCTGCTGGTCCCAAATTGAATAATTCTTTAATAAAATGAAATAAAATATTAGCAGTTCCTCAAAGGGCCTCTGCTTACTCTTACTTCCATGCCTTTGTACATGATGCTCCTGAAACAGCCTTCACCTGCTCATTCCTTTCCCAAATAACATTACTCTTTTAGACGCAGATTAAATATCATACTCATTCTCAAATTCTCCCTACACACACACACAGGGTACACTGTTTGTGTGGTCCCAAAGCACCTTGCCATAGCCCAGTCATGGCATTTATGAACTTTACTGTATTTTTCTGTGGTTGTTTATTCAGTTTCACTCTACAACACTCCTTCCTGTCAGGATTTTGGGCATGCACACACATGGGCCCCAGGATGTTTTGTTTCCAGAGTTGCCAGAACCAGGATTTGAACCATGGTTGGCCATGTGGGATCCAGTTCCCTTAACTGCTGAGCTATGGGGCTGGCCCTGACATATAAGTATTTTTGAATGAGGATACAAATAAATTAATAAATAAGGTCTTACCTGGTGAGAAGGCTGAAGTCCCAGTGTGTGAGACGAGGTGGCAGCTCCCACAACAACTCGGGGGAAGGGGAAAGGAGGAGGCTGTTGGCCTAAGACAGCAGAACCTTGGGCATGAAAAAGCCGATCTCTCAGTTGCTGAACCAGTGGCTGTAAGAGTTGTAACAAGGCAGAGCTGTGCTAAGTAAATTAAAACAAAGAAACGCCCTCTCTTACAAGCCTGATCCAAAGAGCAAATGTCAGCTGACCGTCTACACTCTAGTCACAGTCCCCTAATCCCTGCCAAACCCCTGCGTGGTTAAGGTCCTGCTCAATCAACCGTTCTGTCCTCTGAGAAGCCTTCTCTGAGTTCTCTAGGCAGGATCAGCCCCATTCTGGGAGGCCCACAGTGCTTACTGTGGGCATCTGTTAAGGCGCTCTGACTTGCTGACATCTGACCTTCCCCCAGTAGTTCTGAGCTGCTCAGAGGACTAGATCTATTCACCCTAGGAGCTCCAGCATTAGCACAGTGCCTGGAACACAGAAGCCCTCAGCCAGGGACAGTGACTGAATGAGATGGTGTCCTCTCTCCACATGGCCCCACTTACCTGGGCACAGCCCGTGGGTAGGAAGCTCATGGCAGTGGCCAGGCTGCCCTGGGATGCCAGGAGGGTGGCATACTGAGTGAACCTGTAGGCTGTAGCGGGCCCTGGGATCACCCCATCAGGCCTCTTCAGTAGCTCCAAGCTTCTGTTGAGAACCGTCACCAGCTCCATCAGGTCCTACAGGGACATGGGTGAGGATGGTCAGCCGTCTTCAAAGCACATCCTGCTGTCTACGTCCAAGCAGCTCACCCAAGGACTTCCCACTGTGGACAGAGATGAGGGCACCTGACCGCACTAGGTGAAGGCAGCAGGTGATGCAAGAGACCTTACAGAGTGGGTCATTTGGCCTCACCGCTCAAGCTGTTAGGCTTGGACTCAAGCAGACCCACCTGAATTTCAGGTTCTCGTACATCTCTGCCTCCTCTTTTGCTTTCTTTACTCTTCCTGCTAGTACAGTCTGCTGCACTAACTGTTCTATGTGTGGCTTCTGCCTCAGCCTGAGTCTGCACCCCACTTCCCATGTCACCCGCGGGGCATCTGGTATAGCTTAGATCCACAGGGGTACTCACAGCAGTTACAATTATTCGGGGATTAAATGAACTTGTATAATCAAAACGGAAATGGGAAAATTATGAAGATTACTGTTCAGTCTCCCCTGAGGGAGAGACATGATTTCTCACTCTTTGGAGATGATCCCAGACATGGAGGGTCCTTTGATCCTCCCTAACACCTTGGCTCTGGTCCATACTAACATTTGCCTCAGGGACCAGCAGGTGGCATAGTGGTTAAGGACTCCCACATGGCCAATCACAGTTTGAGTCCCAAACCCACTGGCTTAAAACTCACCCCGGGTGTGTGTGCCTGTGTGCCCAAAATCCCCAGAGGAGAGTGGAGAAGGAATTGCATCATGGCCATTCCCCCTAGGGGGTGATTTCTTGCTGTCTCTGTCTCTCTCTGCCTCTCCTGCAAGCACACATACCCTTATAACAAAAGTCTCTCTCTCAAAAAAAAAGGAGCTTTGCTCTAATGTCTCTGCTAGCCCTCCTAAGCACCTGATGTGGAGCAGTCAGTGCCGGCAGAGAAGGGGTACCTGGAGAGCCATGGGAGAGGAAGCCTGGTGGCATTTTGCCCAGCACTCTGCCAGGCGCTCCACACTCCCTGAGCACACGTAACAGAGTCTGGCGTCAGAGGTTAGCGCCCCGCCACCCTCCTGCTCCATGCGGGTTCCCAGCATGTCTGCGAAGAGAGGGAAACTTCATTAAGGGCACAGCTTCCCTGGTTACTGACACTAACTAACTACAGTGAGGGCAAACCTTTCACACTGAGATGTGACAAGAGAAAGGAAAAGGGCAATAAACGACCCTACTAAAAGTGAAGGCATGCGCTGTAGCCCTCGCCTCCTGGCCGGGCCAGATTCTGGCCCTGACAACACAGCCTGCCCTCCCTGCTTGTCCACTGACTCCACGCTGAAGCCTGGGGCCACACCTACCACAGAGCTCATGCAGTTTCTCTGGTTCAGAGTACGTCAACAGCAAGGCCAGTGCCTCTCTCCAACTCTTCAGGCTACAAGAACACACCACGTCCTTCCAATTCTTCCGCACGACACAGGCCAGAAGCTACAATGGGCAGAGAGGGAAGGGGCCTCAGCCATCCACTCAGCACAGGCAACAGGGGTCATGTACAGGATGTGCTGAAAAAGCCACTCAGCGGCAGCCTTCCTGAGACCGAGTAGGGGCCCACGGTGGGGCTGTGGACATCCACATGCCAAGGCCTGAGTAATCTCCCTGCTCCTCCAGCACAATGGGCACTTACCGAGGACACTTTGGTTTTGCTCTTGGCCAAGTAACGCTCCTGTGTTTGCTTCAGCAGATCTTCACCCCCAGCCTGGGCCAGGATGATGGCATCGGCGAAGCGCTCTTCCTTCAGACACAGCTCCACAGCAGAGCCCAGTTCTCCAAGCAGGAGGGCCTGGCTCAGGAGTCCGTCAGTGTCTGCAGGCAGAGGTATCCTCTCCCCATGAGGCTGCCCTCAGACCTAAGCCTCCTGTCCCCTCAGGGCCCACAGCCCACCCACTGTATCTCCATATGGCTCGGGATGTCTTGTCTGAACAAAGCCCTCGAGTTTCATTCCTTGGTAATAAAATGTAAAGGAGTGTCCCAGAGAGGCCCAGGTCCAGAAGTAACTCTCTAAAGACAAGACCCAAGACAAGGGAGGGACTCCTGTAACAGTATCACAGGTATGATGTGTGCTTGCTTGGAGCAGGGTCAGTCTTTTCAGCAAAAAGACAGAGCTTGGGGAAAACAAAAACCAAAACAAAAACAAATATGCTTGGTAGAGTGTTCTTCCATGAAGAACCCTCCTATAAAAACCTACAACCAGAGAGAGCACTGACCAGTGAGAGACCCACCAGCATTTGAGATGGTAGAAAGGAGGAAGGGAACAAAAAAAGATTGTCTCAAGCCCAAGAACTTTGGACCTGCTATTCCAAAGTCAAGAGTTTTTCCTGGGACCAGCAGATGACGTAATGATTACGTCACTGGACTCCCATGATCAACCGCAATTCAAGTCCTGGACATGGTGGCTTGAAACTCACGCCGGGTGCATGTACATGTGTGCCCTAAGTCCTAAGAGGAGAATGGAAAAGAAGGGACTGCAACGTGGCCAGCCCTTCTTGTCTCTCTCTGTCTCTCCAGCAAGTGCACACACCCTATAGAAAAAGTCTATCTAAAAAACATTTAAAGAGTGTTTCCCCTCAGGGTCGGAGTACCTTCTGTGATAGGGATCTCCCATGGAGCCATGTTCTGAGGGACCAGCTCATCAAAGAAAGCAGACGAGGCAGAGGTTTCCTCTGCGGTGTGTTTGGAGGCCTACACAAGGACGGACAGAGGTGACTCCTCAGGAAACAGCTGGCTTACTAGCTTTCAGCTGTCTCTGAGAGCTCTACTACAAGGCCCTTAATGGATAAAACTAAAATAACCAGGAGAGCTAAGGGGAGGGCCCTAATTCCATTCTCATCCCCCAAAAAGCTTATGGACTCTGTGTCTTACTCTGGTTCCAAGACAGTGAGGGGTTCAAACAAAAGTTGAGCACTTATTGAGAGTAAGCAGAGAACCAGGGAGGGGAAGATAGCTTAAAGGGTCCCCTGTGCTCCCTGGGTCAGGCTGCTTGGGCTCCTACCGCACCTGGCTGCAGAAGGCTGGTTGTCTGTTACTGTTGAGGTCATCTTCCTTGGACTGAGGGCGCTCACCTAGCCCCAAGTCACTCTCCAACTGTGTGGCCACCTGCAAGGAGAGACCTATGAGTACCACTC